ACACAGATTAAACACACACAGATCAAACACACACAGATTAAACACACACAGATTAAACACGCACAGATTAAACACACATTATATTTAGACCCAAAAACTGGCGTCAATCTGTGTCACAGGAGGATTCCCATTTAGTCATTAGAGTTTAAAAATGTTTTCCTATACTTTCAGTTCTTGTGAAACGTGATTTAAAATGATTCAGATATCTTAAATTATATTTTCTGCTTGAATGAAAGTCCTTCAGAATGTTATTAATTATGTAACAAATTTAGGAGTTACAATTTGACAGTGTTTACTTGTGATTTACACAACAAATGACTGTAAGATACAACAACAGTAAAGTTTTTTTCTTGCCAACTTAAATCATTAAATCATTCACACTGCCGTTAATAAATACTGAAACCATTTGTAGTTGGTGTTTTATAAGGTTTTGTGTGGGTGCCGGTGCAGAAAGTCAAAGTTTAACCTGTTCCCTGTAAGTCTGCTCGTAAATAACAACTAAATTAAAATGTGTTTGTCAACAACTACAAACTGAATTATATTGTATGAAAATAAAACCAACATTTATGAGATTTCATAAGAACTGTAAGCATAACAGCACATAAATTATTTCACAGAAAATGGGGATGAAACATAAGAGTACCACATCCAACACATTATACGTCCGTCAACAAACTATTATACAGCTATACAGCCTGGACAAGCAAAGACCTTGTTCAACATTTGACCTTGATTTGTTATCTTGACCTTGGAGCTGGGGTCATGAAAGTGTTCTCCACAGTACGTCTAGTAGTGATGCATATGAAGTTTCATTAAATTATCTTGAGTGGATCTGAAGTTATGGGCCGGATAAGAGACAGTTTACAGATGGACGGAGAATACGCCATAATTTGTTCTGCTGTGGACGAGTGTATGAAAGGAAGGATTTTATTTCCCTGTGCTTAAGGTTTGTTTTTTTTTGCATTGTAGAGTATATAACCCCTTGAAAAGGTGCTGCGGAAGACTAGAACCTCTAGGAAATTATTAATCCACATGTGGACTTTACCTGTGCAAAAATGTATGCTGCTAAAGTAAACTAGAGCAACAAAAAGGTTAAATCACATCATCTGGACCAGTTTGTGAGAAACGTTTTGTCCCCCATCCAGAGGACTTCCTCAGTTTACAACCTGATCTGTCCTATAGCTAGCCTTCACTGCTGTGTTTCAAGCCAACCTCTTGTTGGAATCTCAGAAGTAGACTTTTTTTTCATTCAACCTTTATTTAGACAGGTAAATCCCATTGAGCCTCGAGGACTCGTTTACAAGAGAGACCTGATTTCAACAAAGAATGACACCATACCAATTTTATTTATAGAGCACTTAAAACAGCAACAAGGCCAACCAAAGTGCTGTACAGACAGAAATGATGACAACAATGGACAACAGCGACAACAGATGACCAACTTGTTCCTCACAGAAACAGCCTGAGGGCAATCAAGGGCAAAGTGATTCAGAAAAATGTTGTAAGCTCAATCATCCAGGTAGATAATAACAAAAAAGTGAAATTGTGTCATTTCTAGAGACGCACCGATCCGATACCAACATCGGTATCGATACGGGGGGGGGGGGG